GCAAAAAAATTAAACAAGCGAGTGCCTGTTTTTCCTAGCCAAGTTCAGGGTCCTTGAACACAACACGACTCTAACGTGTCATCATCACGTGGTATATGTCTCGTCTGACAGGGGTGCAGTTCTGACGGGGAGCACCAGAACGCCACTCCAGCACTTCAGAAATTGCTGTACCCATAAGGAGCCGTACACATGCTGCAGTTTCTGCGTGTCTGTGTCTTTAGCTGAAAGCCCAGTGGCGATCTGCTCATCTGTCATACAGTCAATAACTTTGTTGTTATTAGCATCTGGTTAGCTAGCTATGCTAACGAATATAAGACGCTTTTTCTCCAACCAGTGAGGCAAAGCCACATCTTTATGATCATTATAGTTATAAAAAAACAAGAGAATAAAGTAAACAGGTATAAAATACTATATGACAGTAAAAAAAAGTTGTTATTAATAAAGAAGAATACAGTTTGAAAGGAGAGTGATTTGTCATATTCATAAAGAAAAATAAATCTGCTTACAGTTCTGTTTCATATGGATGTTGAGAGATGTATCCATAGATCTCCTAATGTTGCTCTCAAAGTGCACCAGATTGATGCTTTTAACTTCAACATTTAAAAACAAATCTTCCCGGGGGAGCATGCCCCCCGGACCCCCCTGGAAGAGGTTAGCCCCCCCCCCCCCCCACTTAAATCATGTTCACATGGATAGGAAACTAAATACATTTGCACACATCTTGTGTCCATATCTTTCTGTTTTGGTGGTCACGCCACACCGTGCACGTGCATGCATGCGCGAGTCATGGTGAGATATCTGGATTAAGAGGTTGCTTTTTCTTTGCACATAATGAAATGAATAGGCTGTGATTTTAGTTTTTTTAAGCAGAGGTCAATCATTTGTACGGCCCTCTGAGGATATTGTAAACATTGAAATGGCCCTTGAGAGGAAAAAGGTTCCCCACCCCTGCTTTATAGCATTCACCTCATTTCCATTTTATTTATTCTATCCTTCCATTCCCTTTATACTTAGTTTTTTTGCTAACCATCATTATTCATCCACAGAGTTCCATTAAGACAGAGCTGGTCTAAACTGGTTTCTGTCATGTTGTCTGGTCTCATTTACATTTACATTAGGTTTTAGGCATGCAGCAGATGCTCTCCGCCAGCAAAGTCTAAAACCAATGGAAGATCCCAAATATGAGCTGGACGACAATTGCAATGTGTTTTGCATTTTTGCTCTATTCTTTTTTTAGGAACAAACCAGATCATGCAGATAGATGAGAAAAGTAGGAGGGAATGAGATGAATGTGAGAACTGAAGGCAGTGTTCTTCATTAGATCGCCGCACGTGTTGGTTTTCATTTCAACAACACAATGTTTTTGCCATTTAATTTAAAAGTTTAATCTAAAACCCATTTTTTCCACAATTCCTCCCTGGAGGTTTTCCCTTTTTGTTTAATAAAGCAAGCAAAAGGAAAGGTAGCATCATCTCAAAACTTTCTACACTTAAAACCTCAATGTCCTTGGAAATGTTATACGTTTAAAACTAGGAAAAAGTTGCAACATATATTATACATTTACATACTGTAATGTAAATATTATTTCCAATGTATTTTAATATCATGTCAGTTTTAATGATAAATATAGCTGTCAAAATAAACAAAGTGAGGTAAAAAGGCAATATATTTTTGTAAGCATACAATAGTATACTGAGTATTGAAAATGGCTGTGCATGAGTACAAATGTTGAATTACTCTACATCACTCCAAATGTTTATGCTCTCTATTCACATAGCACAAAGTGTCAAACATCTCAGTGACATCTTACAGATGAATTTAGATCTCTGTTTGCTAAGTAGGAATCACTTAGTAAACAGATATCAAGGTTGTTCTGCTGTGAGTATCTTCTGCCTTTCTTTGCACAAAATCCTGCATACCTTTACTCTACTTTTATTCAAAAATATTGTTATTTTTACTCCACTACATTTAACTAACTATCTCAAAGATTCAGATTAATCAAACAAACTAACATTAACAAAAACATAATCATCATGTAGGTTAACTATTGATCCCTTTACGAAATGTGCATGCTTCCTGGCAGGAAGCATGTCTTCGTTTATTGGCTGAGAACCGCAGTGACGCGTCCTAAAACCCGGAAGTAAACTCCTTCCGGTTCCTTCGTCAAAAACGCAATGCAATTTCTCCATAGGATTTTGGAAAATAGCTCGAAATAAGGTCTGTGGTTGACACACATTTAAGAGGGATCACGTTTTGTTCAGCCGGATAATCTCCTACTCCTAATACTAGTGATGGTGAGATGAAGCCTTATGAAGCTTTGAAGCTTTCCAGCCAATTGGTTCGCAAAAGGGTTCATCTCATGAGGCTTCATCATGGGCTTCATTTGAACACAAACCCCCTGTTGGTCAAAGTGTGTAAAACAGGCAGATTGGACATCTCAACAGTGTGCTCTATCTCATACCGAGTTCCCAATGAGTAAAGCCTTAGAATAACTCTAAACAACGAACATTAAATCATGTCTTCATGTTAACAATATTGTTTTTATTCCAGTTGAATGATTGTGATTGAAAAGCCTAAGGAGGCTGGTAAACATTGCAAAGAGGGATTTGCATTCCTTCATAAACTTAACCATGTTGTAGCCTGAGAAAGGCTAAACCATATCAAAGAATACATTTATTAACTACATTGTCTCATTTAGCTGTAGCTTTTATAAACAACAAAAAATACGTATTGTTCAGTCGTTGAACCAGGAACCCTGCGGTCGTGAGTCAACTGCTTTCCAGCTGAGCCACAGCACACACACTAAAGCTCCCTAAAAACACTGGAACATATGTATTCCTGTATTTATTTCTGTATTTATTCATGTTTTTATTCCTACATTTATTTATGCTTGTATCTATTTATACGTTATGACATGTTCCGACCTCTATATAGGTGAGGGTCTGAGCTCTCTTGATTCCATCATGTCACCGGGCCCGGGTACAGGAGGGGTAATATGGTTCTTATTATACATCCATTGGTATTATGAGCGTTGTGGTTCAACGGTTCAACCGATCTGAATCTCTTCGTGAAGCAGTCACGTGGTATCGACAGGCAGCGAGGCTTCGTTTGTCATCGATGACGTCACTGGCACAAAACGATACAAGCCTCGATACATGCTTCACAAAAAGCTTCGGGGATTACTCGACACACGCTCCGAAGCCTATTAGTGATAGCAAAAGTACTACCGTTAACCTAGAGTTAATTTATGCACATTAGTGCCATATTATCCTGAAATGAGTTGGATATCTTTACATTTTGTAGGCTACTTTGAGTACGTTATGATGCTAATACTTTTTGATTTTTTTGGGTCAAATGTGACACAAAGTACGATATTAGTACAGAGTATTAAAAAAAAACACTTTTGCTTGTGTAAAACATCTTCGTCTCCCACCGACCTATGAAGTTAAAACGTTTTAAAAAAAGAAAAAGTTATGATATTTACCGACTGCCTTTAAATGCATTGACTTGAGGCTTTTTAGCCGGCTTTGGCTACTGGCAGCAACGCACTTTTACGGAGAAAAACAACAAAAATAGGCGATAAAGAATGACTGAAATATAGGCTAAATAAACACTATATGAATGTAAGTTGGTTTATTTTTATGAGAGGAAGCCGAGTGTTCTCATTTATCGATGTAATATGTGTCTTCAACAGTTAGCTAACGTCGAGCTACGTAGGCCTACGTACTTTAACCAGGTAACGTTAGCTACATTTGACATGCATAGTACATGCAAATATGTCTTTATGGGTTTGGTGAATAGAATATTTGGTTAATTAATATTTGTATTCATTTCGTAAATGTAAAAACTCGTAAAATGTATAGTTTAGCTATAGTGTATCTTAATTTAGCCTTGTAGTTATAATGGAAGACTTCATTCACTGTTTGTCTGAAATCATCTATGGTTGTTGACTCTTCTTTTTATGAATATTATCCAATTTATAATTGGCCTACAAGAAAAACCCAGAATCCCCCCTCTTAGACAAAGTTTGACTTGTCATTGCAGGTAAAGCACATGTGTAATTGAGAGCACTGCAAGTAGGCTTAACATGCCTGCTGTCAAATTAAAACATATATGTTGTCATATAAATACCTTTACTACGATACCTTTTAAATACATTTCAATAAATATCTCAAATATAGATTGCAAAAACATCACAACGTCCCAATGCATCTGGACGCATTTTGCAGTATGCAAGACAGCACACTTATCTAGCTATTTTAACCGACAATCCTTTGTGCATTAGTTGAGGAAATGCTATACCCAAATAGTATGCATAATACATGCAACAATACATACTTTGTAAGAGCTAAAGTATATACTAAAAAAAACATCCCTGGTGGCATTTTTCTTCTCTGTTCTTCCTTTTGACCAGCAAGGTGATTGAGATTTGTTTATTTAGTTTTGGAGCATTCCCTTGAGAGATGTATTACAACAGGATTTTCATAATGGGGGTTTTCATTGATGCTCTTTGATGAAACACTTTTTAAATCCTTAAATCGTTTTTTCTTATATCTGTCAGGTGGAAAAACAAAGGTGAAGACCTTGTTTTTATATTGAGGCCTGTGTATTGTTCAAACATGATGCTGTGTCAACTGAGCAATGATCTATTTCAAAATGCAAAGGCTGCCTGCCTAATTTTGTGAATTTTCAAAAACAGATGGGGATATTTCTCACTGTTGGAGCTGCTTAAATCCTTGACAGTCATCACATGTTGAAAAATTAAAAAAAGACTTGGATGCTTGTGGTCACAATAACAAAGGTGACTTTAATCCCATCTCACTTTCAGCTTACTGTAGAAAGTGATATGAGAACTGGTTTAATGTTTTATCTGTCAGCATTAATTTATGCCGTACATGTTTCAAACTGTATAAGATGTCCCTAAAGTGTGTGAAAATATCCTCTTCAAATGCACATTGCAAATGCACACTGCTAACCATATATTTGCCTTTTTCTTTCAGTGAGTCAAAGCGGTCTTGCTGGGGATGTTTGTCCAGATCCTGGAGTTCCAGAAAATGGCAAGAGGATGGGATCAACCTTCCAGTAAGTTCCCTCTATTCCAGACTTAACTGCTGTCAGTCAATCCTTGCCAAATCAAATGTATTAAACAACAACAAGTGCCTTAGATATTTTTGATCCTGTGACCAGCCTGTGGATCAATAATATATGCATATAGATTCCAGACTGCAGAAATGTTCTCACCCAAAAGTATTTTTCTGACAATGGACTTAAATCCTGGCACATACATTGTTTGGATGACATGGGAGACAGGGGATGCTAACTCAATTTATGTGCATGTGCTATGTTGATGTTGTTCTTTTTACAAGTCAGAACAGCTTAGTTGCCAGCACAATTGAGTGATAATCAAAAGGATCAGGAGAGAACTTCGTGGGCTGGTATTTTTTGACTGATTAACTGTTACTTAAGAACATTAAATATTGCAGCAGGCTAAACAGAAACGTATTTAGAAAAAACACATTATGTTTGTTGGCACAACACAGTTTCCAGAGCTGTTCCCCTTCCCTGGCTTTATAAAATACGTGTATGTGCAATGGAGGAAAAAAGCTCGGTAAGCTTAGTTTAGATCTGATGACACCTCATGTTTTCAAATAAGAATGTTTCTGTATGTCTAGATTATTTGGAGGTTTCAGACATTGTGGCTTAAGGGCCCAGTTCAGATTAGAAGTTATTTCTTCATAAACCACAGTTTGTTTCTGTATTTGAGTGTGAGTACAACTCTGTCCCAGTTCTGCTCCCAGAATTGTTCCAAATTGGTTCCGCCGTTTTCCATGAGACTGAAGTGTTTTCTGGTTTATACCTCATCATAACTAATGTATGTCTGTTGGGGACCTTTTGTTATAGATCCGGCTTTTGAGATGTGAACAACCTTATGTAACTAAAATCTCATATATTCCTATTTGCAGTGTTTTAAATCCTCATAAAGGTGAAGGCTGTTTAGTGCTCTTCAGCAGAAATACACAACCCTCAACCTTATAGGAAAGGACAGTAAGAGCTGCTATAGTTTATAACCTGCAGATATATAATTTTCAACACACACACACACACACACACACACACACACACACACACACACACACACACACACACACACACACACACACACACACACACACACACACACACATACACACTCAATAAAAAAAAAGGTCATTCCTCTGAGAGTGTAACTGCTTGATTCTTCGACCGGGGAGGGCTGACATTGGGCATGGAGGTCAAGTGTGTGTGAATGCATCAATTCATAAGCATATGTAATATTGTGCATTTGTGATTGTTTTGACAAAAAACTAAAATCGCATAGAGCAAATGATCTGGGCAGCCTGTCCAGAGACCCACTGTTAACCATCAGCATTTAACAATGTTCATTACTTATGACCCTCCAGGAGGTTTAAAGGGTCATTACCTATAAAAGGGTTATAAACGGAGAATGGGAAGTCATTTTTAAAAAGTAGAATATTTGCCAATAAACTAGGACTTGGTGGTCATGGGGATTTTAAATGATTCACTCCATGATGTCTGCCATCTTATCAGTACAAAGAAAGACATTATTTCATTTAGTCAGGAGTGAGCAATTATAAAATGATCACCTCTCCCTATGACTCAACCACTTAGCATCAGTGGCGGCTAAATTGCGTATATGTTTTTCTCCTTATTGTCAGAGCATCAAAACGGGTATACTATTTTACGATACATTTTTCAGGCCAAAAAAACCTCTAAAGGATAATCATCTTTTAATGTCCAGCTCCTGGTGTGTTCTTTACCATTAGCAACTTTGACTGCACAAACTCTGCGGGACTATTAGTGGAGTTTAGTGGAGTCTGAGTTAGTGAAAGGTCATTACCTCAGTGTGTGTGCATGTTTGTGTGTTTGTCTCTGAGCGTGTGCCAGTTTGTATGCATGTTGGCATGGATGTGGTTGGTGTGTGTAACAGGTTTGTATGTAATCATCATTAAGCTTTGAGGAGCAGGAACTGGAACAGAGTTGGGGTGTGATGAAGTAAAACAGGAGAAATAGAGAGAGAGAGAACATTGCTGTAGAGATAACAAAAGAGTTGTCACTGTTGGGCAGTGCAGAACTGCGTGTGGCTGTCACTTAGTGTGTCACGGCAGTTTTGATTCACTGACTTTCACATACACAACTGCAGCAGAAAGGTTTTTAGTTCTTTTCTCGGAAATAGAGATTACAACAAAGTTTTCTTTCCTGTAATTGTAAATTTCACAGTATGCGTCTGGATGGGAGTTATTTTCAGCGTCGCCTAAGTAGCAGAAGCTGTAAAGTGAATGACCCGACCCTCCGTGACAAAGGCACTAACAGAGAGATTTGGCCAGGCAGTGAAACTCTACAGTGTTTAACAACAGGGTGGAGCCTCTGAACACCCAGAACCCTACGTAGGAAATGTTTGGCCAGGTGGTAGACTGTGGTGTGCATCAGCGGGGTGGAGACATTAAGCTTTGCAGATAAGACACCATGCAGTCTTCCACTCAGATGGTTGAATGTCCCTCTCACGAGGTAGACAGCGGGGTGTTGGAGAAAATGAGAACACAGGAATGATAAGAGCAAATGATGAGGGGCGAGGCCAGATAAGTGAAAAAGGGAAAGAATGAACTAATAAAAGGAAAGCAAATCAGTCATTGAGAAAAAGGCATAAGTGATAAAAGATAAAGTGTCTTACATTAAGAGAGGAATTATAGATCCTAATTGGGTCATCTGTGGAGACAGATTTGTTCCACAGGGATCTAAAAGCCACTGCATCATTAATATCACGGCCATCATTCATACATTACTTCTACAATTATCTTCCTTCTCAGTTCTCTTAAGACATAACCCTAGATGGAGTGTAAGAGGTCTCTACAAGTGTGACAATATCACCCTTATGAGGCAGTGGGTGCTAGATTTGATAGAGTTTCTACTGTTTTTTTGACAAGTGTTGTTCCTGTTGTGTCTCCTTATATAGAATTGGATCCAGCGTCCAGTTCAGCTGTGATGACAGCTATGTACTACAAGGATCTAAAAGTATCACCTGTCAGCGAGTCACTGACACACTGGCTGCCTGGAGTGACCACAGACCAATCTGCAGAAGTAAGTTTCACCTGTCATTCCCTCTGAAACTCTTATGACTAGGTGTCAATGCATTAGAGTTTGAGCTTGTTCATACAATAGGTTCATGTCCACCCACAGCTTAAGGACGTGTCTTTCAAAGCACGCCAGCTGCTCCGTATCGATTTGCATTGAGTCTATCTTTGTTTGGATTGTATACTGTGTGCATAAAGCAACTATGTATACTTTTACATAGCATCATTAATAACAACTTTGCCCCACATCAATAAAATAGGACAAATAACAGATTTATATTCACATATACATATTCATACAGTGATGCTTTGCTTAAGGACACTCAGCATACAGTTAGAATAAGCCAGGAATTAAACCATCAACCCTGATGTCCAGCTATTATCCTCCAAGAGGTCCAGGGGGTCCAAATGAGGGTAACTGATACTATACATGTTCACCATAAGGCAGGAGCATGTCACGTAAATGCAACGTCATGACATGAAATGTGCTTCTAATAGGTTTTGGTTATCAGTGGACTCTCATGGCAGGAATGTGTAAGCTGTATTAAAGTTTGCCCACACAAAGGGTGTTAGTCGGATAGATTCATTGTTAGTTTTCCTTTCTTCAGGGGATTTGTTGATCATAATAAAAGGATAAACAAAGTCCACCTATGCTATGGTGTTTACTGCTGCCTGAGATCCCTGTGCTGTTGTTCCAAAGCCACAAATCCCTGATGTCTAACCTGTTCACCTTCAATTATCAGCCTGGACACTGACACAGTCACACGGTCCCTGTCTGAGCTCCTCTGCTCAGGAGGGTTGAAAGGTTCAGAGCACACTGAGAGCTGAGAGCTCTCCATGCAAAGTCATTAAAAAACTTAGAAATACAAATAAACCAGTTTGCTTTAAACATACAATATTGAACACAATAGACCTGTTTAATCTGTACATGGATGATCTGTCTAGGAAAGTGAACTTGTGTAAAACTGGCTGTGTCATCGGTGCTACTGTTGTCAACCACCTTATGTACGCAGATGATATAATCATCTTTTCCCCGTACAGCTTCTGAGGATTTGTTCCCAATATGGCATTGATTTTTAATAGGAAGTATAACGCCAAGAAGAGTAGCATCATGATTGTGCGAAGTAAAGAGGATAAAAAGGCTGTATTTCCTAATTTTATTCTCAGTAGCAACATTCTACTTGTGTGCAGTGAGATGAAGTACCTTGGTCATTATATTTCTGATGATCTCACAGATGACAAAGACATCCATAGACAGCGCTGCAAACTGTATGCCCAGGCAAACATATTAATGCGGACATTTCACAAGTGCTCTGTAGATGTCAAGGTATCACTTTTTAAAGCTTTCTGTACACGGCTCACCTGTGGAGTAACTACAAGGCTAGCAGCATGCAAAAACTAAAAGTTGCATACAATGATGCTATAGGTTGCTGCTGAGGGTACCAAGATGGCACAGTGCCAGCCAGCTGTTTGTTAACTTGGGGGTTCCTACCTGTCAAGCCCTTTTAAGAAAGTTAATGTACAAATTCATGTGTCGCCTAGAAGAGTCAGACAATCATTTTATCTCGATTTTAATTAACCCTGTGAAGAGTTCTACCCGGTTCTCTTCCATGATTTGGAGGCAAATGTTATGTTTTTCATCTGTGTTTTTGTGAAGCTTTTTAATCTTATTTATTGTTGTGTATTTTGTACGTGATATAGACCTTGAGTTTGAAATAAAGATTGAATAACTGCATCGCCATCTACAGTACTGACATTATGGAAGATGGGTCTGGGTATTTTACTTTGCTGGCATTTTATAAAAGTTTACTCTCTTTGAAAACACAGTGAATGGTATCAAAGTATTATACTTGGTGTTTGTTGATGTTTTGAAATCATGATTCACTTTCTGACTGAATGGCTGAGTGACTAAATAAATAACAGTGAGTGTCAGAGCAATGATGCAGGGGCTCTCAATACCCGCATGTTTACTGACAATACCCTGTTGGGTTTAATACTTCACAATAAAAAGGCAGACAGAGAGCATTCACACCAAAGTGTGTGTGCACACAACACACACTTACATTGACAGCAAGTGTCCGAAGGACAATGTCACACACACTTCATAGTTGCAACAGTATTCGCCTTGAGCTGTGGGTGTGTTTGACGGACAGGAAGTCTCTGTGCTCAGACACACACTATAGGGTCCCTGTCAGATTGTATTATAGTAAGAGTGTGTGGTTGGGTGTCTGTGACTGCAGGAATCTGCCTGCCTCCATGATACTGGCTACTCTTGTCAGAAAGAGACAGTCGATGACGGCAGAGTGAGACAGTCAGAGAGATGGAAGGACATGATGATATTGCGATGATATGATGGGTGACCTTGACCTAATGTTAGGGTTTGTTAGTGTAAGTGAAACACAATTACTTCTACTCCTACTGATGGTATACATCCTCAAGGATAAAATACATTTCACTACATTTAAGAAAAACAATATGACAATTGATCAAGGCTATTCCCTAATGGAAGAGTGGGTTATTGTGCCATTGAATCAAATGACTACAGTATCTCATTTTAAATGATTTCTGTTTGTCTATAAATCACAGAATACTATCATAGCATTTTTGAAATTATGACTGCATGTAGCTTTCTAGTGTATTTTTTAATTAGTATTGAGTCTAATGATTGCCATCGGCTTCCTTACGCATCTGTTTTCAGCAAAAACTGCACACTCTCTGTCCAGCATTAAAGCTGAAGAAAAGTAGTCGGGTGATTGGTAATTAGATTTAAGTATTGAGTAAAATACACTTCCCTAACATAAACTAGTGCAGTAACAGTTGTTGACTGCGTGGATTTCACTCAGTATGCATTACATTTCGTATTCCTTCATAAAGTGTTAAAGCAGATGCAGAAAGTATGTATGTTTTTTCTAACTGTGGAACAACTTATGTTGTTACTTCAGAAACTACAGAAGGGTACATTTTAGAGAAAAATCCAAGATGTAAAAAGTAGGGATGCACCGAATATTCGGCCACCGAAAATTATCGGCCGAAAATGGTTAAAAAGGCCCTTTCGGCCGAAAGGGTTTTAGCACCGAAAAAATATCACAGAATGTCAGAACAGGCTTACGTTGGTAACCTAACGTGTTGTTGTGATGACGTAATAAAGACGCGGCGACCATGCTCGCGGCTGGCTCACAGGGGGGGGGGGGGGGGGGACATTGACCTTTGTCATCGAGATTGCCCTGAGCCTTTAACAAATCGTATTAAATAATCTGATGACAGACTGTAAACAGAATAGCTGAAATGTTAACAAACTAAATAACTCAGTTACCTCTAATCATTAACCCATGTTTGTATCATGTAGTTAACTCCGTGTGTTGCTGCTAGCATACATAACACCTGACGTGGAAACGTTACTCCTGGATGGGGCTACAGAGCTGCTAGAAAGACGGTCGAACCCGGTACATTCCTCCGTCTGCATGCGGTGCACTTTTGCTAAATGTTTAGACAAATTGCTCGTGCTTACATGCTAAACTCTTATTGCACTTATGGTAACAAGTATTCTCCACATCGAGACGGGTAAAGTTTAACCACACCTCGGAGCGCGTTCTCTCCGCCATCTCCGCAGTGTGCTCCGCTGCATGTAGCAGCTGCGTGTGTGTAAACTGCCCCGCCCCCTCGCACACAGACGGGGGAGAGAGATCTCGTCTGATCGAAAATACATCATAGACGCATTTGTTGTCTTTGCATATTAGAAACGAGTTGGCGACACTAAGACTGCGATATAATGTTTTTTAGCAATAATACATGACATATATAAATGTACTGTATGCATTCAAAAGTGCTGAATAAATGTTTTATGGACCCATAATAGTGATTATTATTTAAGTTAAGTTTTGCCATAATCATGTCTATTTCCATAATCAGGTAGCTGAACAACATTGGTAAAAAATGTATACATTATATATATATATTTCTATTAATCATTTTCGGCCTTTCGGCATTCGGTTTTCGGCCAACTGTTTCCTATTTTCGGTATCGGTTTCGGCCAAGAATTTCCCATTCGGTGCACCCCTAGTAAAAAGTGATTTTTCAGTATGACACAACACAGCAGAACTGTACAAATAAAGTCATATGTTTGACATTGATTTATGCCTTGACATTTTCCACATCAAACATTGGTAATTATGGATAAGAATAAATACACAGAGAGAAAAGTGAGCACCAAAAGAGAAAGAGAGAGAAGAAAAGAGGTGGTCAAAGAGGCAGGCAGAAGTTAAAGTTCCTACACTGTGGCTCTGCGGGTGTATTGTGTTCTCTGGTGTGATCTCTCTCCTGGGAATCAAACCCATGAGCCTCTCTCTTTCTCTGCTGAGACTTTAATGTTAATTAGAAGCTGGTCTTTGGGATGAATCACCATGAATGTGTTCCTGTGTGTCCATGTGTGTGTGTACCTGTGTGTGTATCACAGTGTGTTTCAGCTCTCTTTTCTAATTAACAGGCAGATCAGTCATCGGAGGTCCTCTTCTCCCCCCTCTCTCCCGTGGTATTTTCTATGCCTCTGTCTCTGTCCTGCCTCTTGCCCTCCCTCCTTTCATTTCTCTTCTCTCCCTTTCCTCACATTATAATCTTTCACCCTCTCTACTCTCTCTTTCCGTCTCTTTCCAACCTCTCTCCTTCACGTCTCTTCACTTTGTCTCTCAACCTTTCTGTATTTGCAAACTTCCTTGCTCTATTATTTCATCTCATCTCTGTCTTACTCCTCACCCCGACTATTATTCTGTATGATGTCCTTTTTAGTCCCTTCGCCTCCATATAATGGCAGTGATCGCCTCCAGCTAACTCATTATATAGATAAAGGGCAGATATATGACCAGATAAACGTCCTCCCAATGATGACCGTGCTGGTTGTCTAAAGCTGAGTGGAAATGTCGAGAAAGCATTTAAATATAACTGTGAATCTTGAAAAAGTGTTTTTTATGCGTACTTTTTGGCCAAAATGTCTCTTTAAGACATTAACACATGGGTGACTTTATGAGGAACTGAACGCAAGACATATTACCCTATCAAATAGGACAAGATCAATATGGATAAATAAAGCTTTTGGAAAGATATCATATACAAATGCTGTTGAAAAAGACGACCTGGAGACGCTGCATGATCAAAGGTATCAAAAGCAGAGTGAACATAACTATTATCAAAAATAGTTAAATTATATTGTTAGTATGTTGTGCTTTTGCTAAACAAAAGCTATTGAATGAATTGTTATACAATTCTAGTACAGATATACTTTAAATGGACCAACATATAATAATCCAGTTGACCTGTCGATCCCATCTCAGCTCCCTTGGATTGTCCTTTAGCAGATCTTAAGTTATGTGTTGTTTATTATTGCAACATTATTCAGAGAGAAGCCTCACATCTTAAGAGTAGACGATGTCGGACCTCATCCTGGTTTGTAGTTTTCTTATTTGCTGTGGTTTTCTTTTGGGATCATCGTGACCCTCAATTATTTGAAAGACCTTGTTTGCTTGACCAGACATGGCCTGATAGACAAAATATGACCATGCAATATGTTGTTCTAATCAAACCCCTGATACTTGCTGATATGTTTGTCATCAGACCACAGCCCACAGTGTTTTCTTCAACTGCAACAGGGGTTTTGTTATGGCTTTTTATTTTTGTATCAATGCAAAATATGTCTTAAAGAAATCACTCTGTGCACTTCTGGATCTCATGATATTTTCATTGTTATTGCAATTTGATTCTAATCCCTTGTTTCTCCTGTTCTCGGCAGCATAAACTTTTATTCAATGTTATTATTTACATATAATATTGGATTTTCAACTGTTTTTCCAAGTAACATGTTTAACCATTTTCTGATTTCTGTTGTAGGACTACATGTACAAATGTAATCAGTTAAATCTCACTAGCTGCTGGTATTTGTCCAAAAACCTACGTAAGGAAGATGCGGAAAGACATTGTGATTGATTTGATTTCAGGACATTTTAAATATTTGGTTCACTGACAGTGTTGATTATTTTAGATGTGTTCCCCATATATGTATAACTGATGACTTTATACAGTTTGTACTTGTATGTAGGTCCAACTAAATGTCCAAATTCAGTGTCCAAATGCCACAGTGTCAGTTTTGGTCACATTGAACCTTTTTCTTCCGTCGCTGGCACACTCTGCCTCTGTCCCTTCTCTTAACAGGAACAAGGCCATTTCCAATCTGAGTGTAATTTTTGATTACCCCATTAATCTCTTTTAAAACTCTGTCTTTCTTTTGCTTTCTTCCTTTGTAGCTCGTACCTGTGGCAGCAATCTAAGGGGGCCCAAAGGGGTCATAACTTCGCCTAACTACCCTGTTCAATATGAGAACAACGCACACTGTGTGTGGGTCATCAGTGCAATGGACTCTGAGAAGGTGAGCTCATTTTCATTACTTTATTTCTCCATTGTTTTAACAGGCATTTCAATAAAAAAGGTAATTATAATCTGGCGTGGGGGAAATAAATCTTCTATACCTTGAATTTGGGGAGGCTGTGGCTCAGTGGGATAGTGGGCTGATTTTCGGATCACGGGAGAGAATGTTGAGCAAGGTGAAGTCCCACTGCATGTCGTTGTGTCCCTGGGCGAGACACTTCACCCCGAACTGCTCCTGTGGGGATTGCCCACAGTACTGAACTGTAAGTCCCTTTGGATAAAAGCGTCTAACATGTACTGACTAGTTTGATTTTTGATATAATTGTTCAATAATATTTAATATTGCATCTTAATGGTTAAACATTTTAAAAGGATGTCTGCAAATGATCTACAGTATGTGTACTAAAGATCTTTGCCAGCTAAAAATGCAAGGTGTGCTGAAAAATGACTTTAATGCATACATATATTTATTGTGGTTACAATTAAAATTGTCACACAAGAGGCTAATACAGACAAGACCAGTGCCCTGTACTACGAAGCCAGTTCAACAAATCCTGGATATGTTTGAGTTATCTGGCGGTTCTACGACGCTGGTTATCAACTCGGTAACTCAAGCCAGGGTTTCTCTGTCCGGCTGAGTGCGCGTTCACGTGAAAGGGGCGGGGTTAGCAACATTTGATTTGACTAATCACAAACATGGACGCCCTACTCAGATTGGTGTGTCCCACCCCGTCCTGTCTTTTCGGCCGTGCCGACACCTTCCGCCGCCGATTCAACATGTTGAATCGGTAGGCTGTCGGTAAAAGGCCGTCGGCTAAAGAAATCACTCTGATTGGCTGTTCAGCTAGCGAATCAGTGCATGAGAAGCGAAACGGAAGTGAGGGACCCAAACAAACGATTAAGAAGGCAAATCTGAGATTTCACTTAACTCCAGCTCTCGACACAGGTTCGGGAAAGCCCCATGAGCTTCTCGCTGTAGAGTGAAAATGGAACGGAATGGAACAATGGAATTTGTTGTTTGTTTATATCACGCAGTCTGTTCTTCTTCTCTCGGTGTATCACGCAGTCTGTCTTCCGGTTGTTGCCTGTTTTGAATGACGAATACACACTACCGCCGCCTGCTGGTAAGGAGAGTTATTGCCACTCACGCATGCGCAGTTCGTACGTGCTACTTGGCCGTCGGCTGAAGTCTTTGCGGTGTGTTCCAGTGCGACTGTTGGCCAAGACGCAGGAGACGTGAGGCGACACAACAATCGGGTCCGTCGGGACGTGTTCTTTGGTGTTAGATTGGTGTGTAGGGACCTTAAGACACGAGTGTATCTGACTTTAAATACATTTGAGTGTTTCTTCAACTTAACGTGTTGCTTAAAATAATATTTTAGCATACAGTATGTGACAATGTAAGTGTTGCACAGACAGATACGGCTCGAGAAGCTGACTCGGATAAGGAAATATATGATGTGATATGAATGATAATGGGACACATTGACGTCTGCACTCAGTGTCACGGACTGTACTTAATGTTACTTTGATCCTGCTACTTATGTTGTGGCAGATATTTAAGTAAGCTTTCTTAATGCTAATGTTATAATAGTCAGACTGCTCTGAACATGGGAGGTGATATTCTATTCATTTTCACGTTCACACAGTCAGTGATTTTTGCCGGACCTCTTTCCTGCAACGGCAGTTTAAACTGTATTTCCAATATGACTTGATAACAGGTTTTGATAACACCAAACCTGCTCCGGAGCAGGTTTGGTGTTCAGCATAAGTTACCATGGAGATCTACCCCGGTAAGAAGTGAACCAGCGTCGTAGGACCGGAAACCCAGAGTTAACCCTGAAGTTACCTCGCTAACGGAAAATCCTGCTTCGTGTACTGGGCACAGGCCATGCTGTAAGACGTGGTTTATTGTTTTAGGTTTCCTTTTTGTGTTCCTGCGGTTTTTTCTAAATTCTGTTTCCATTGCTGAGCTCATGATCACCCCATCTCCCCAATGTTATGCAGTGAACTTTGTTGTTGATTAGTTGTCTTAAAGATATAAATGATTCATATACCTGAGTTACATAACTCAAATGTCTCTGTCTGCAGTTTAGCTCAAGGTATTATGTTTAGTCTTCATGTGTCATCATATACACTATCTGAACTTCTTCTCCTCTTGCCCACTTCCTGCTCTCTGGTCTTTACTTCTGCTTGCCTCACATCTCCATCCTTTATTCTCTACTTTACTTCAACTCTCTCCCTCTGCTCTGCTCGCCACTCATCTACTTTCTCCTTATATCATCTTCTTTCCTCTTTTCAATTTGATTTGCCTAAAATGTTAAGTTTGAAGAAGCTGAAAGTAGAGAAAGCGCAAAGCATAAGTAGAGCAAGATGGCACTGAGCTAGCTGAAAACTACAGAGTAAAAGAGAGTGGAAAAGTAGAGGGGGAAAATTGGGCTGAATGTTCAGATGGCCCCTTCACTATTAACAAGTGAGCACCAGGAAGAGAGCAAAGGGAACAAGTGTGAATGTCCAAGCAGGTACTTGACATGTGGCATTGAGGTTTTCTCTAAAGATGGATGGAAATGGAGTATACTCACCTCAGAGCCTCTGAGTGAGTAGGATGGAGAAATGCTGAGATAAAATTGAGTAGAGAGAAAACGAAATGGGCTTTTGTGCTCTCTTCTGTGTCTCTCTGACCTTGATAGAGAGACATGGCAACATGCAGCTGTGACCAAGTTTCACCAGAGTGTAGAGTAGATTTATCTAACCATGAGTCTCATGTCTCTGCACAGGTGGAGATTTGATACTTTTTCCATGCCGCATAATTGCCGGAAATTACTTGTCTGCATCTTTAAAAACCATTTGGAAGTGACATTAGACGTGTAGCCTTTGTCTTCCAGAAAATCATAGCCACAGGTAACTCTTTAAAATTGACACCATTGCTTTTTTGCCATCATGACCACTTTGCAATAGATTATTATTGGTAGTGCTTGATTTGAGATAAATGTGTGTGTGTGTGTGTGTGTGTGTGTGTGCCTCTGTGAGTGTATGTGTGTGCCTCTGTGAGTGTATGTGTGTTACAAGGGGTTTAAGAAAAATATAATACAATCGAGGATAATAGATTCACATAGCCTAGCCTATAGCTTATGACAGATGGAATGCATTTTATCTGTTTTGTGTACCGTGTGTGTGTGTACGTTTAAAATGCTTGAGGTTTTAGAGCACTTTAAGAATGTGCTATAATGACAGATTATCAGCTACTACAGCTGCTGGCATTTGCAGAATGTCACTATCTACATCCACAGAGGGAGAGACAAGGACACAGGCAAACAAGAGGATAGAGACTAGACTGGAGTAGAGTGGAATAGGAAATAATGGATTATAATCTAAATTAATGGCACATTGAATAAAATGTCCAATCCATTTTACAATGCATGCACTATATACTCATGTGTTGAACAATTGTATAGCTTTACTGATATTCTCCTTTGGCAACAAATGAATGTATAAGGTGTAATCCTTCTTATTCCACCACTTTACGGTTCACAGAGGTTTCAAATGTAAGATAAATAGCTTTAGAAAGTCCACACAAATGTACATTGTTTATGTTTTTTTAGGTAAATGCTTAAGGTTACTTGAAGAGTTTTGACATTGACATACCTTGTTGCCAGTGATAATGTTCTTTAAACCAAGTACACTTTAAAGGATGCCAAATGTGGTGAATGCACCTTGACATGTCAGCCTGCACTCTTTATTGAAAAGAAAGCAACCAAGAATTTTGATATTATTTCTTATGACCACTTATATACTACAACATTTAAAATGTTCACAGTAGATCAGTGAACAACAAAACAGTATGGATTTTTTACATTACCTTTAAACCTTTGTAATTATGATTTGAATAAATACAAAGAAAACAAAAATAGTTTAGTATTTCTTTCTACTGTTTGTAGATTTGACCAATCCATTGTTTATTTCTTAATATTGGTTATTGTTATATTATTTTCTACATATTTCCGCTTTTCACTTGACATGGATTTTGTCCAAATCACATTTCTTAAAAGATCAAAATAGAAAGTTTATAATAAAACAAACAATCAATAAACCTAAACTGAGATGTTTTCTCAAATAAGCGTCATCTACAGTACTGTCTAGGAATGTCCTTAAAGGTGGGGTAGGTAATTCACTTCAGAAACACTTTTTGCCTCGGCCCGCGGCAGATAACTGGATGGCCTACTGTACCTGCCTGTCAGCCTTCCATCTGTGCACAAACTTATCTCGTGCCCTCATTGGTCATGTGCGAGTTCGTGTGTGTGTTGGAGGAGGGGCTCTGTGAGGAAGTCTGAAGGAAGGCGCAGATTTTTTTCGGTTGTGTACTTTCAAATTCTAGCGCACTCAGGCTGGTTTCTCCATTCTTACCTACCCTACCTTTAATGTCTAGGAATTGTTCTTAAATACTTAATCAGCATCTCCATCTTTATGATCTCATCTCTTTATTTGGACAAGCATCTGTTTTAAAGGGCCTTAACTTGTTTTTAGTCAACCTCTAATAAGCATATATTCCTTTAGTAAAATACATATTTCCACTTAAAATGATCTTTCTTCATAGTTATTTTGTTATGGCCTTTTCTGGTCAGTTTGAGAGAAAGTGCAGAGCAACGCAGGGAGATACAAGAAGATATTTCAAAGAAGTGAATAAAAATGAATAGCTGTGATTTATTTAGACCTTTCTTTTTTTCTCTGAATCTCAGACCCATTGTCTCCTCTCCTTCTTCTCTCCCTTGCCTCTGACTGACTATTATTCCAGATGACTTCTTTCATCAATAACATGCTGTACACAATTGAGACAGAGACAAATGTTTTTATCGAAGTGTGTATGCCTTTTTGTTTAGTCTTTGTGTAGCTTACCTGCACACATTTCAATAAGTGCTGGCTGCGTGCGTGTCTGTTGTCATTCTGTTAAGTTCTGAATAAAAGCAGCACAATCAATACAGTTTGTAATGGTCTGACAGCCTG